TTCCAAAATCCCAAAAATTTAACAAGCAGATTACCATCACCCATTCTAAAAATAATAAAAACTTAATATAATATGCATAAAAAACAATTAAAGAGTATAATAATAGTGAAAAATAATACATGTATTTTCTTCTCTGGATAATATGTTTGCTTCTGATTGTTCCTCTATATGCAGCGTTTACACCGATTAATGTTATTATTATTATTTAAATTTACTATATTCTCAGCTATGCCATTCTAAAAATAAAAAACTTAATATATACATAAAAGCAAAATTATATAAAACTTATTTAAAATGGTGAAGGTGAAATACAAAACATAAATTTTCTCCCCCGGATAATGTTTGCTTCTGAATGTTCCTCTTTTTGCTGTGTCTACACTGATTAATGTTAATTTTAAATTTACTACCGCATGATCGAGAAAAAACGGCGTCAACGATGGCTATGAAATGAACATCGCTGTCATTTTATATGTAAATTTATATGGGAAATGTCATCGATCGTCATTTTCCAGCCAACTGGACGCCGTTTTTTTTTCGATCATACGGTATATTCTGAGCCATGAACCTTTCAAAACAACTTTTTAATAATAATAACCACAACCATTTACTAATAATTATATAACCAGCATCATATTGTAATAACCATCACTCTTTCTAAAAATAAAAACTTACTGTAATTATACATAAAAACACAATTATATAATAATAGTTATTCATAATAGCACAGAATATCTAGCTACGCAACAGAAACCTACTCGAAATGAAAGAGCTAAAATTGCACAAATAAAATACTAGATGGCGCGATAATATCATAATCAGTAAAGTCCCTAGACATATAAAGTACCGCAATTGGTTTGTTCAATGTTATTGGCGCCAAAATGGCGGATTTTTGGGGTATTTCTGGAAAAAATGTAGTGGTAGGACTGTTTAAGTGTCACATTTGTCTGAATTTGTCATGTCAAATGTTGAGAAGCTGTCAATTTCAGGATAAAAATATTTATCCACATATTTTAAAATAATTATAAAGCCACTAAAATGCTACAAATTTATTAGTTAATAATGTATAGACGTCGATATCTTTGGTGAAGAAATGTGTATTACACGAAAAGGCCGCCATTTGATGTGTTTTCTAACATCGTCGATATTCAATACACGTTAGGTAGTGGATTGAATTTATTTATGCTCCAGTGAATATTTTTAACAATCTTATTTGTAGTATAACCTATTGGTACATAAAACTTCATTATAGAACAAGACAAGACCACAATAGATCTGGGAAGGTCGCAGTAGGTCAGGCCGAGATCAACCTCTAGAAATCTGATCTAGAACAAGACAAAGACCTTACTTGCAAACTACCATACATATCTTTTAAAAAGAATGCTAAGTGTAGGTGAAATCTCTACGTAATCATTCCCTAAAATGTTTAGTGTAGTTTAGTTTTCAACATTTTGCAGTAAGAAGTTTAGATAAATCTACAATATATTATCATCAGACCAAAGGAAGGATAATTATTTAAAAGAATAAGTTATGTTATGATACATATATAGATTTGGATGACATCACTTCAGGTGGTTTTACCAGTCAGGACGAACAGGCATATTAATCAAAACACAATGAAAAAAAGCTCAAATAAATTTGATCCTAATAACAAGAATGTTGTTTATGCATATGCTAACTATATAGTTATTATCATGGACTTAAATAGATTAGTTTTTACGTATTTATTGATAGTAATTAATATTTTTTGGTTCATATTGTAATTACTGATAAAAAGTAAACAATATAATGTAAGCATGTAAAGTTATATTTAAAAATTTGGTCTTATAGAGTCAGTTATAAATAAAAGTGTGTGATTTAAATTTGATTTTTATACATGACATAAAATTGTTAAGATTCATTTGAAGTTTTACATATTGTATGCATATTGTCGAGGTAAAATTATGCCTACTTAATTTATGTATAACAATAATTACAGTTATTTCAATGTTAAATTTATAGCAGTATAACTTTTTTATTATAATGATACTTAAACATTATGATACTTGTTTTAAAAATATAACATTAAATGGCAAAGTAAAATATATTTTAATTGTATTATGTAGTATTAACTTGCTTTTATTCAACTAATAATAAATTTGTTGTATAAAAATCACTCCATAACATACAAACCTTAATTATACAGCATACATAAAGAGCTCCTATGCGTTTCAAGCTTCTTTCTAAGTTATTTTTAAATTAAGTGCACAATTACATACCTAAAATGCCGAAACTACCTGAAGTAATTCTAATTGAAACAATCTTTCTATCAATATTAATATATTTCAAAAATAGCAAGTATGTATCATATCAATTTAATTATTACATTTATTTGTTTCAACCATGGTTCAAAATTTTCTCGTATAAAAGCCGGCCTTCAAATTTAAGTTTGTAGCTTATTTATAGTTCCAAAGACTTTCGTTTTCATGCTTATTTGTCAAAACTAACTACAGCATAACTGGTATAATAGGGAAAGTTTACTTATGGTATAGGTATCCCGTTCTCATCAACAAAGTTTTTCCAATTGTTTCAACTGAATTAAGTACTAAAATGCTAAATGTTATTCCAACTTTATTTCTTCTTACCTATTAACTTACTTCTGTTGGCGTACTTTGCGCTAAAAGGTAACATAATTAAATGCTAATACAAATGAAAAACACATGTACGGAAACCATTCGTTTATAACCTCTTAACATAATATATAGGCCTAAAAAATTAAATTTATGAAATTGAATATTAATATACCACCTGATATTACGTTAAAATGAAGGTAAACTGTAGATAATAAACATAATTCTATTACAATTAATAAATATTTTATTTTACGGCTTGCCTGTCAATGTTGGTCGACCATATTGGCGCCACACCGACCAGCTGCTTAAAAAGCCGAAACAGCGAAATGTTGGCCTCCTTTTTAAATTTGCCGCTAGTTTTGGCGCCAATATGGCGGTAATTGCGGTACTTTATATATCTAGGTACTTTAATAATCAGAATATAATTGGAAATGTTCAATTTTCGATTTTGGATCGACGGCACGTCGACGGCCTTGAACAACCTTGAAGCTCGGCTAAATATGCACAGTTGCCAGATTCAAAAAGACTAATTGGCATCCCATTCTTTTTCTGGTGTATAATAATTTCTTTCTATTCTTCGTTTGTTGTCAGATACACTTATATTAATTATTCGTTTGGCTTTTAAAATAGTTTTAAATGTTAACTAAGAAAATAACTTTAATTACCTTTAAAATTAATAATATACAGGGCGATTGCTGGTGATATTTATTAATGCTCAAACGTTAGTAATGAAATATACGTTTAATAATAATGGAAATAATTTATTAAAATGCAGTATAAAAAATGTTAATTGACTAAAAAAATACTATAATAACAAATTTCTTCTGTTTTTACCACGTTATTTATATAGACCTACCTAGGTAGATTTTAAAAAGTGACACAGGTACAATAATTAATAATATATTAGTTCGGCATAAAAGATGCTGTCACGACATCGTACAATAAATTAAAATTCGTAAAATAAATTATAATTATTAATTAAACAAATCTTTATAAAGAAACGCAAGTATAACAAATTTTGGCCCAATCGAACTACAGGAAATGATATCATAATATTGTACTCTATTATGGTACCACTCGATATGCTTCATAATAATGCAATGTCACCGAAGATCCGTAGTATACCAAATTAAATCACAATCGAACGCCAGGAAATGGTATCGTAATATGGTACTATAGGTAGGTACCACTTTATATGCATCAGTACCATCATATTACAATGTCATCGAAGATACGTACTATATACCAAGTTTAAACCCAATCGAACGCCAGGAAATGGTATCGTAATATGGTACTACATTATGGTACTTCTTGGCTTCATGGTACCATAATATTGCAATGTCATCAAAAATACGCAAGTATAATCAAATATGAGGGAGCCCAATCGAACGTCAGGAAATGGTATCATAATATGGTACTATATAGAAGGTACCGCTTTATATACTATTATAGTACCATCATATTACAGTACGGGTCACCGAACATACGTAGCATACAAAGTTTAAAACCAATCGAACGAAAGGAAATGGTATCGTAATATGGTACTACATTGTGGTACCCCTTGATATGCTTCATGGTACCATAATATTGCAATGTCATAAAAAATACGCAAGTATAATCAAATAAAAGTACAATTGAACGTCAGGAAGTGGTATCATAATATGGTGCTATAGAAGGTACCACTTTATATGCATCAAAGTACCATCGTATTGCAATGTCACCGAAGATACTATACCAAGTATAAGTCCAATCGAATGCCAGGAAATTCAATTACAATCAAACGTTACAAAGTGATTGTAATTCAGCTCGTAAGATTTAGCTCCAACTAACATGGCAAGTTAAATACCTAAACGTTTGAAAAAAGAGCTCTAATCTATTTTAATACATTTAAATGATGTAGCAAATTTAAGCTAAGCTGTAAGCTTTATCAGGCAGTATTACAATATGAATTACACAATGGCAACACTGCATAAAATCCTTTTAAATTTCGTTTGTAGAAAACTGTTTTCTTTTAAATCTATCACCCTCTATTATGTAGTAGCGAAACTACCGCATCAAAATATCTGATTTGGAGACAGGCTTTAAAAGCCTGTCTCCTTTTGATACCTACGATTTTATACGTGTAACGAGGCTTCTGTTGCGTAGCTAGATATCCTGTGATAATAGTGACAAATAATACATGTATTTTCGTCTCAGGATAATATGTTTGCTTCTCAATTTTCCTCTTTTTGCAGTCTCTACCTTGATCAACGCTATTTCTGAATTTACTATACTCTGCCTTGAACCTTTCAAAAGAATTTTCATCCAAACCTCTACCAAAATTACACACAAAATTACACATTTCTTGCAAGGCAATCTAAGATAAAATACCGTAAACCTGGGTTACTTTGCTCCATTTTTTTGAAGAAATATGAGAATTAGTTGGTAGAAGACTCAGAAAAAATAAAATGAACTTGTACTTATCACCAGAGATAAAACAAATATTACTGAGTATTGTCTCATGGCCAATTATTAGGTAATCATTTTTTTTGGTACCAATTTTTTTTGTTAAAAAGTGGCGCAAAGTCAACCAACGGAGGGGGTTACTTTGCTCCAATTCAAAAATATCGTTGTAACGTGAGCTATGTGTTATTTGGGGCAAAGTTACCCGACGCATTTAATTGACTTTGTTCCAAATTATAGTCTTAAATAGCAAAAACCTCCAAAAAGTTGTTTTTTGATATATTTTATTTCAGAAAACCTTAATATACAAACTAGAATTGCAAAAAATGCAACTTTATGATCAAACTTGTGTAGATAACGTAGTGAAATACCATATTTATTAATATGCATTCAAAAGTAACGAGAAACTTATATAACGTGGTTCAAATAAGTTCGTAGAAGTGTTGAAAATCCGTTTTTTTTCTATTTCAATTTTCAAAATAAACTAAGAACAAATTATGAAATAGGAAACACTGACTTAATGTTTTTAAAAACAAAAAAAGACAAAAGGTCAACTGTTTACATTGCGTAACAAGAAATATTTACTAATCTAAAAAGTCTGTTAATTCCGGAACAGCAAATATGCCTCTTTTAGAAACTTGCTTAGGTGGATTTATGGAACCCAGAACATCGTCCCAAGAGTAAGGAATTTCATCTGGTTTAGAAGGCCACTTCCACATTTTCAGCGACTTTTCCATGGAGCTAATGACGACTTCGTCTTCATTAAATCTCAAAATTTTCCCAGGATATAGCAATCCTTCATAGGAAAAAACAACGAAACTTCCTATTTCCCGAACTGTATTTTTAAATTGAAGGGTATTATCGTTTGCTGATTTTCCTTCTATGTAATCCACGAAAGCCTTTTCTTTTTCCTGCTCTTTAACCAGTTCGTCGAAATCAATGTCGTCTGAGGAATTCTCATCAAATATAGTTTCGTTGCGTTTTATCCCAGATGAAGTAGTAGGCTCTTCTTCCAGTGTTTCATTATCGGCTATTACCTCACTATTAGACATATCTTCATCACTTTGCAAGTTTTCCAAACAAACACTTCTTCCGGGGGGAATATTGAGTTTTTTTCTACGACTTTTAACAGCTTTCGTTAACTCTATTCGTTGGCTTTGAATTTTTTGAAGAAATGCGCCTTGGATATCATCTGGATTACAAGAAGATCTTGGAATGCGGCTTAGAACTTCTTCTACCTTTAAGGGGACTATGCCACATTTACGAAAACCTGCTTTTAAGTTTTCTTCCACGTTTGGCCCAATAATTTCCATCATTTTTGACAAAAGCGGTGGAAAGTTCTGCTTCTGTATGTTGGTATTACGAATGCCTTCATCAGTATCTTTCCACTCTGATAGTACCCTCCTCCATGCTATTTTCAGTGGTCTGAAAAATGCCACATCTAAAGGCTGCGTCAAGTGGGTGCTATTTGGCGGTAGGCAAATCAATGTTATTTGGTTTTGGCGGCATAGCTTTAATGCATGCACTGTTATGTGAGAGGACAGATTGTCACATAAAACAACTTTTTTGCCTTCTAATTTTTTTAGCCGAGGAATCATCTGACATTCCAGCCAGTCGCTAAATATTGACGCATCAAACCATCCTGAACTACTTGAATTATACCGGCATCCCTTAGGTCCATTTTCGGTCCACGTCGTCCACATTTTGTTGGCTCGATATACTATATAAGGCGGGAGTAATTCTCCTGCCGCATTACCTGAAAACATAACCGATATGGACGTTTTCGATGCATTCCGTATTAACTCTGGATATTTTGATCCTTTCTTTACTATAACTTTTTTCTTTCCTGGATCATCGCTCAAGTTCGTTTCATCGAAATTCCAGATATTCGTTGGCGGGACGTCTCTCAACTCATCGGACAAATTTTCAAAAAAACTTCTTATCATTGGTTCATCCACGGCGGCTCTCATTCGTTTTACATTTTCGGCGAAGCGTTGTGATAGTTCAGGGTTTCTGACTAAAAAGCCTTTTAGCCAATCAGTACCAGGTGTGTTTTCTTTAAATACTTTTACTTCCCTTCCACATCTGGCCAAGTAATTCTTTATGATGTTTCTCAATTCTTGCATATTCACAGGAAACCCATAGTCCCCTAAAGATATAATGCACTGAACAAATTCTCTTTCTTCGTCAGCAGTAAATATGGGCTGATGCCCCGGTTTTTTAGAATGTCTACATTTGAGTTTATTCAAGATTGTTCGTCTAGGAATCTTGTACTTTTCTTCAGCGGCTCTATGCGATATGCGTCCATGTTTTATTTCGTTTAAACATTCTAATAGAGTTTCTTCTGTGTAATCAGCGTATTTTCGCGCACCGGCTTTTCTTTTGTAATTTCTAGGCATAGTTAACTATAAAAAAGAAAAAAAAATGATATGAGTGTATTTTACCCCGGAGCAAAGTAACCCCGAAAATGAAAAATGGGTATACTTTGCTCCGGAGCAAAGTAACCCCAAAATACCAAATTTTTGCAGGTCCAGACAAGAAAATATATTTTTTTGTTTTTAATGGTTTCGTTAAAAATATAAATAAAGGAAACAGTTAACGAATATTCCTTATTATAATATGCACACACTTACTTGAAAATCAGCTTTAATAACTTGTGCACACACTAAATCTTGGCGATTAAAAATAGAGCAAATTCTCTTACACCAGTTTCACATCAAGGTTATGTGCCTAAATAAACTTAGAAATGGCGGGCTCCTTGCACATGTTACACTAACATAGATAACCTTCAATACAGCAGTGTTAATTTGGTCATTTTCCTCTTAGGTGTAATTTTATAATAAAGTGAAACTCTTTTTGAGTGTGGAGCAAAGTAGGCTCTGAAGGAGCAAAGAAGCCCCGGTTTACGGTATTCTATCTGTTAGGAAATGCATGAATTTTTTTTTAATTGTGTACCTCTCGTCTTTCTTCAAAAGAAATGGGTTCTATTTTTGGGTATACTCTCTTTAATGAAATGCTCTAAATCATCCTTGTAACGCAATTTGCTTGTTGTCAGCTCGTCAATATTTAAATTATTAGTATCAGAAGATGGAGAACCTAAAACAGACTCGCTTCTCTCCTCATACAAGGCAACTGCATGTATATGTTTACATAGTACATTTTTTACAGAATTTTGAGGGCATTGGCACATGTATCTATGTAAACATATCTTACACGCATTACAATACCCAGTTCTACAATCAACATTACATAGTTCACTGTATGAAACAAGGTAATACTTATCTTTTACAGAACAAGATTGAACTCTAAATCCAACGTCAGATAGTTCAACCTTTTCTGTCATTTCCTCTGCTTTTTTTGTGAGATTCAACAGTTATTCTGTGATTGTAGCTATTGGCATTTGGTCTTTCTGTATCTATAATCTTCTTCCACATCTTGTCGTCAACAATTTCTTCTAACAAATCTAATAACTTCTCTACCCTAAAAAATAAAATAATACCGATACTCAAAATGTTTTTGTTCAAAATATTTTATATTTAAATTTGTATTTTTACCTGAGATTACGTTGTCCATTCATTTTATTGTACTTCAAAAGTTTATTTAGGCTCTCAATTGCCATATTGGTATTTATTCATTATTGACAATGAGCCCACATCATAATTCTTTCCTCACTCTTGAAATAATAGCTTAAAAAAAATAAATATAGAATAAAAAAAATATATTAAAAATGTAATACCTGTTCAAATATTTTAGGAAATCAACTTCTTCTTCTTCTTCCAAATGTTTAAAATACTTATCCTTGTGGTCCTTAAATTTTGCTACATCAGCTTCTGTTAATATTTTTCGCATTTCCATTTTCATGTTTTTCTTTAATTCAATGTTTTTAATTTTTGCCTTTCCCTGAATATTCCAATTTTTAATAATGTGTCATGTACAAAGGAGTCTTCTAGATGTTGTATTAGTACTCATCACTTTGGTCCAAGCATTATAATATTTCGGGTCATCGTCGCTCATAATATATTCTGCATCAATTGGTTTACCGAATTTTGTTAAAAGAGCCCTAAAAAAAACTTCTTGAATTATCTGATCCAACCTGTTGGAAAGCAATAATGCCACTGGAAATCCTAAATTATTTTCATCCTTAATTAAAATAACAGTTAAATCAAAATTTTTCCTGTTTGTTCCATGGGTGCCGTCAATACATATGATGCGACTAAAATCCAGCAGTTTTTTTAACCCCACTGCAAAATCTTCATCTTTTAACCCTGGATAATTTTCACCTGAAATTAAATAAACATGTTATAATAAAACCGTCTTTTATAACTTTTAGTTAACACTAATCAATATTTGATTTAATTACCAATTTTCTTAAATAAAAATGCATGATTATTTCCTTGTGTATTCCATTCTTCAATTTTTAGGGCTGTAGCTGTCATATCATCATTATCTCTCTTCTTATCAATGTTGTACTTGCGAATCAAATATGCCAAATCTCCTCTTGTTACTAAATTTATCCTCTCAACTTTATTATTTTGAATGTTTTTTTCTCGCATCTTGAATTATTCTGACATTTGATACCCCTGCTGATAATTGTCCCACAATAATACTTTGTTCCACCTTTGGCAGTCGTTTTGTTCTCAACTCATCTGTATGGCTCACGTGCGTTTCGACAAATCTGGCTTGAATTTAACCTGTATTTTTTTATTCATTACGTAGGTATTAGACAAAAAAATATCATGATTACCATCTGTAGTTATTTTCACTAAAATTCGTGAAGGGCAGGTTCCATTTATACGAATACTACCTCCAGTTTTCATATGACGTTTGCTGCATGAACTAACAAATCCTAAAAATGAATTTTATTAACAATGAAATATTTGTATAACATAAATAAGTCTGCAACCTTTAGAATAGCTTCTGTTACAGTTATATAATATAGTCTCTTCTCCACTAGCATGTTTTTGTCTATCATGACGAGCATAGTTTACTTCTTTATTATCCAGCGACATCCAAGCTGTAAACTCTTCAAGATTTCTAAAATAAAAAACAGATTGTTGAATATTCAGATTATGTATGGTACTTAAATGTTTAATTAAACAATCAAGGAACGAAAAATTCTCTTCATTTGGACATATAGGACATTTGATGTGCTTCTTCCTTGTTGTTGTTTCTTCTTCTGGATGGAACTTCCTTACATGTCTATTCTTTGTGAATGTACTGGCAAACACCATTTTGCATACTTGGTAAGTTAATTTGTTATTGCTACAAAATACAATAATGTACTAATTCTAACCCTAACTGCACAATTAACATACCTTGCCAAATCCATATTTAATTAATCCCTTAACTTAAGGCAATATACCTTTTTGCTCAGTGATAAATTCTAATTCCAAGACAAATTCACCAACTACAAACTATGTACAAATAAATAAAGATGAAAATAAAGGTAAATAAAGATGAAAAGCACCAAAATCACAACAAATTAGTTATCAAACTAAAGATATCAAACCACACTAATATCCTTGAATATGTGTAAATAATAATATATAAAAACAAGACTAATATCTTTGCATGAAACACAAATTGGCGGGAAAATAGTAGTGACCGTATATAAAATCGTTCAATCACCCAGAAAGGCTAGCAAACGATTAAATTAAACGAATTAACCAACTTGAACGGTAACATTTCCCAGTCAGCTGATCGTTTTTTTTTTTTGTTTCGGGGGTGGAAAAAATCTTTTAAAGACTGCACGAGCTAATCCCCGAAGAAAGGGAAGACTCTCGTGACTGTGTGGGACTCAGACAGCTGTTACCCACTAAAACAACCACCTCCAGGGATTTCCAGCTATATAATCCGGGTATTGATATCGGGAGAAAAGGGACGAGGCCCTGTGTGCCTAGAAGGCTAGTTTTGAGATTCAAGATTTGGGAGCGACTGGACACTAAGTCCAGAAGAGGTTAGTGATTGTCCGGAAGACAGTTTTGGGGGGGATTAGATCATAGGGGGTAACATACTAGCAAATATGTTAGAAACCATGATTTTGACTTGACTGGCTACTTGCTCAAGTAGTTGTTTTTGAAGTTCTTGGATTATTGAAAAGGGGTGGAATGACGCAGGGGGATTACCTTGTGGCGAGTTGTTGAGATTGCTTTTGAGCACTGAAGCATAAAGTGTAGGATTTTGGGAGATAGGAGTCGGGACCTTTGAGGGTACCGGCTGGCTAAGGATGTTTGTATTGGGATTGGGATTACGATTTTTCGGATTTTTTGGGCATGAATTATGGCTGGCTGGAGCGGACCTCCGCAATTTGAGCAAATTGCAGGTGCATCAGCCTCTTTATCACAGGATTTAGTGTGATGGGATTTGGCGCACCTCACGCAACGCGGTTCCGCAAAACAGTTCGAAGTAGCATGGCCGAATTGCTGGCAATTGTGGCACTGACGTACCCCATTACCGCGCCTCGGCGTCACCACTCGAACCCTCAGCGAGCCCACATGCGTGATGTCGAAGATATGGGTTTGATTTTTGGGAATTCTGACTTTGATGACGGGCAGAGGAATACCATCGCGTGAGAGGCGATGCATTTCCCTGACCTCGAAACCTTGGGAAGTTAGGTCTTCAATTATTGCCGAGTTGTCGACAAAAACTTCTACACCTTTAATTAGGACATTAAGATCCCTGTCTTCAGGGGAAAAGTAAGTATGGAAGGGAATTTGCTTGTTTTTGAAATAATCGACGATGGCCCTATGGTCATCAGAAGAAGAGGGAGTGATTCTAATGCCGAGAGGCACAGTTTTTGCTTCGGAAAAGCAGATTTTCTGCTCTTTGAAGGATCTTGTGATACTCATCCAGAGACGAGTATCACGAAGTACGACTTGGGGAGGCTTTTTGGGCCCTTTGCTTTTGGATTGAGGCTCCTGCTGCATTTGAGGAGCAGCAGGGGGAGTTTTAGGTTGAGGCTCCTGCTGTGTTTGAGGAACAGCAGGGGGGTTTTTGGGATGGGACGCCTGTTGCTTTTGAGGAGCAGCAGGGGGAATTTTAGGTTGAGGCTCCTGCTGTGTTTGAGGCACAGCAGGGGGAGTTTTGGGACGTGGCACCTGCTGCGTTTGAGGAACAGCAGGTGGGTTTTTGGGATGGGACGCCTGTTGCTTTTGAGGAGCAACAGTGGGAGGGTTTTTGATTTTTGGGACCTGACGTTCCGGACAATCGGGCTTTTTTATATCAGGATTTGGTCCTGATGATGATGTGATGGGTGAGGATGATGGTCGAGCTGGGGAAACCTCCCTTGAGGCTAGCTTTTTCACTGGGGTTTCAAGAGACTCGTCAGAACTGGCCTGACGCTTCTTCTTAGGGATGATGTTTCTACTGAATTTTATTTCATTGGAAGTGATTTTGTGACGATCAAGAATTGCGATAACTAGGTTTTTCTTTTCTCTAAAGAAATGATAAGAATACATCAGGTCTTGGATTTCGTCAGGGGAGTAATCCCTTGACAAATCAAGACCGATGAATGGATCAGGATGAGATGAGATCTTGAGATCAACAGGAAATTGAAAGGGTTTAGAGTCTGGGCATAGGGAGCTGAATCTGAAGGAGTTTTGTCTAATCTCGGGAGATTAGCCTTGTTTTTCTTAGGAGCCATGATGGCGGTTTGGAAAAAGGGAGAAACGACCCTTGGAGAGGGCCGTATTTGAGCGGAGCTTGCTCTGAAGAGTCGAGCAAGCTAATGTTGAGAGGGAGCACTTTCCGAGCGCGAGGCACTAGAGCGCGAATACTGACGGAGCTGCGATGCACACTGTACAACGCACAACGACTGACTGGACTGAGTCAGCTGATCGAAAACGGCGCGGACCTTTTCAAATACGATGTTTCACGAAGGCTCTTTTCGGTCGAAATCGGGCACTGGTAATTAGACGGATTTTGATTGGCGGGTGCAAACGGGAAAATAATGTATGGTGCCGAGGGGTCTTGCGGAGTGTTGTCCATGATATGCAACTGTCCTCCAGACAACTGTGGCGGCAGACGCTTTCGGCATCTGTTGCCAGCTGTATCGAGGGCAAACTCTTATAGATGAATGCTTGAAATTATTTTTTTTTGGATTTGTTTTGGAGACAATTATGACAGTAATGGGTCAAAACATAAATGGTATTCTTGTATGCAGAATCTCCTAAAATATGGATTTTAGAAAGAAATAGCAAATCTGGATTTCTAATGTGAATTATGGACAACGCTTACGTCATGTGTACTTTCAGTTTCAATACTGAATCGTTGTCTACCAAATTACTCATTTCTTTATTTACGTTGTCAAATCAAGAAGTGTTTAGGTTAGTATCAATATATATTAACTTTACATCAAGGATATATAGAATGTGAAAAAACGCGTTTTTCGTCGAGCACGCTAAACTGGTAGTGACTGTGTCAGACGATACAGGAGCTTGGTCTATAAATAATGATCGTGAACATTAAATACTTGTTAAGCGTGGTCCATTTCAAATTACCAAAATACAGTTTCCGGCTAATCATGAAGGACTCGATTCAGTACTAATAACTATACGAGGCGACTATGCAATGGTTAAGAAGTAAGGTGTGTGGATAATTTATTGAAAAGCAAAAAATGTCTTTTTTCTGTTGTCGTTTCTTCAGCATTCTTCTAATATCCCTTCTTCAAATACATGGTTATCAGTTGGTTATCTCCCCGAAAAATCGGCGATTCACATAAGAGCAATTTAAATCATGGAGTGAAATGTATCAACGTTTAGGTAAAACATTGGACCAGAAGTCTTTAAACGATTAATTGCTGTAATTCAATTTTTGGCTACATAAAACTTTTAACATTCCATGATAATACAGAGACATTATACAGCAGGAATAATGAGAACTTTTTGAAACATAGAATTTATTCGTAAATTTGATGTTGTAATTGTTGATCATATACCGTATAATATCTAAAGAAACGTATATTCATAATTTTTAGCACCATATCTTAAATAATTAGTTTACGTGAATTAACTATAACCAAAGAGGTTAGAAGAGAAAGAGGTAACAAATGCTCTATTTTATAATGCGCGAAGGCTGCCTGTTTTTCCGATCTGGGTTCCTTTGGTGGGGGTCACGCCAGGAGCGGATTTAGAAATTTTTAAGTGAATAATGATATACATCTAATATATAAAATTCTCGTGTCACAGTTTTTATTACCTTAATCCTTCAAAACGGCTTGACCGATTTTGATGAAATTTATATGTATAATCAGTGGATATGAGACTAGGTTGTTATCGATTTTTATACCCCTAAGTGATAAGGGTGACCCAAGAAAAAAAAATTTTTTACTTTTTGAAAAAAAAAAATGTTTTTATTTTTTTTATGATTTGGCATTATAAAATACATACAACCCTAAATTTTCACCCTTCTACCACCAACACCTATTTTGTAATAGGGGTTGTTTTTTTTAATTTTTTTTATTACCTTACTCCTCCGAAACGGCTTGACCGGTTTTGATGAAATTTTATATGTATAATCAGTGGGTCTGAGACTAGGTTATCGATTTGGTGGCCCAAAAAAAATATTTTTTAATTTTTGGAATTTTTTTATTTCTATTTTTTTATGATTTGGCAATTAATACATTTGGCAATTAATACATTAATACAATTTGGCAAAAATACATACAACCCTAAATTTTCTTTTTCTACCATCAACCGCTCTTTTTTAATAGGGGATGTTTTTTAATTTTTGTTACCTTACTCCTCCGAAACGGCCTGACTGGGCCTGACCGAGTTTGATGAAATTTTATATATATATATATATATATATATATATATATATTCAGTAGGTCTGAGGGTAGGTTATTATCTATTTTTTATACCCCTAAGGCGCGGTATTTTCAGGTATAAATAAATAACTTTTATCTAACAAATAACAATCTTAAAGATAAAACAATTGGTAGAAGATACACGTTTTTACACGCTATCCGTCAAATAAAATATATAACACGCTATCTGTACCTGAAAATACCGGGGTAAGTGATAAGGGTGATCCAAGTCCACCGGCCAAATCTTCTGGTGTATGGGTGGCTACTCGTTTTT